TGAATCACACTTTTTTTTTTGTCTTGAAGAATGAATGAATGAGTGAGAGATGAACTCTACATGAACAGTTCGAGTTATCTGACCAAAACACACTTAAAGTAAATGTCTTTTCAGTCTAAATTTGATTTTAAAATTTCCAGAATCAAGAGATGACAGATTCTTCTTGAAATGATAGCAGTCTGAGAATGTACCTCAACATGAAAATGGAGATCATTATATAAGTTCCTGTGTTACTTTATAAAAGATCAACATGTGTTATACACAAACCATAAAGACTGGTTAATGCATTGTAAAAACTGAATTGTGAGAAGATGAGAATTTTTGAGCACACATACTACTTTATATATTCAAGAATTGGAAATATGTATTTCCAGAAAAAAAAAAAAGCTTATACCACATTTAAAAAGGAAACCAAACCAGTCTTCATTCCTGTCAACATTTAACGGTATTAGACAGTAAGACTCTCAAAACATAAATAGTTGTCTACCAACAGGAAGGACATATTTCCAGAGACAAATTTTTTAAAAAGTCTGCTTTTCACCATGTTAGTATTTAAAGCAGGTGCCATTTGCTGATTAATTAAATCACAAGATGTTCCTTATGCTAAAATCTTGCAAATGAAACTTAAACAGAAACTGTGGTTGTGCTGTTGTCACTTCTTCTCTCTTTTTTTTTTCTTTAAATTATCCAGAATACCACATGGACAGCTTGCAAGCTTATTTTCCAGATCACTGATAGCAATGCAATTCTGTGTTTGTGTCTGAGTATGTGTTTTGTTTCAAAAAAGATATCAGCTTGAAGCAGTTTCAAATCTCTGGCAACAATTTTTTAAGAAGTTTGTCAAAAATGAGCTGTTGACCACATTTTTGTCAGGTCACTTGTCAAATGTGTGGTAGGGGGATGTCAAGTTCCCGGGCAATTCCCATCCATATTTATGACACTACTTAGAAACTATGCAGGCGTTCAATAGGTACTATTTGGTGTTTAAGAACAATCAAGAAACATTTTTTTTCTTTATTGTTAATATATTATAGGCTTCAAGGAATATTTTATAAGTCGTTTTTAAAATACATGTACCCCAGATTTTCTCAGGAAATTCCAGGTGCTTGGAGTACTTGTTTAAAAACACAATTCAGAACTGCAGGAGGTATAAGTCAGCTGTGGTTTAGTTTAAAGTGAACTTTTTTTTTTTTAATGTAAAAAGGTCAAATTTAATGAAGAAACTAGCAAATTCAAAGTTCCACCAAGGAACATTCCAATGCTTTTAGAATCCACTTGAAGTGAAGAAGGAAAACCATCCCCTTTAGCATTTTAAAGCTTTGAAAGCCTAATGAACCCTGCCACCTCCTGTAGTTCCTACCAAACCAAAATTTGCACTGGGACTGGGCTCATTAGCATTAAGTGGAAGTAGACTACTCAGCTCTTGCTATGGCTTTTTGCAAAGCTCTGACCATTGCCATTGTATTTGGTTGATAAAATGTTGTTATCTCAATCATTATTTCATTTTTCTCTTTGTTGATGCAAAATGCCTGTTATACTTCGAATTTACGTCATGTAATAAGTGTCCAAAATACATTAGTTTTTCAACAGGTTATCTTCTTGAAGTGAGGTATTTATTATAATGGTTCACTTCTTCTACATGACCCGGACTATGAAGTGATGGTTTTTGAGGGGGAACAATGAGTAATTAGAAGAGAAAGAATATGTAATATTAGATATACAGATACATTGGGAACTTTCTTCATTAAAGTAGATATTATATTAAGGAGGCTCAAAATCATAGCAATTTGGTCAATCTAACTGCCTCCAAAATTTTCACATATCCTTTTAGAGGATCTTTTTTTTTTTTTCTGTACTGAAGATTGAACCCTATGCAAACACTCTACCCCTTGAGCTACATCCTCAGTCCCAGGAAAAATTTCTGCTACAATTAAGAAATGTGCATTATGTAGAGCCACCATTTCAGGTTATCTGGTTCTGATTTTAAGGGGGTCTGTATCTTCAATTGCATGTTACTTCCTTCCAAATTGTAGATAAGTGACACTAAAATAAAATATTTCTTCTCTGTAGACATGGAAATTAATTCTTTTGGGCAAAGTTTCAATTGAATTCTTTGTTCTGGAAGAAGCCAATTTTGTCTCTTTTAGCATATTAATTTCATTATTCTTGATCTATAGAAGCATGTGCTCTTAAATTATCCTGGTTTGTAACGTCTTACATAGTTCTTTCATTAGCAAATTAATGTGCCCATTTTATAAGTATATGTAAGTAATATTTCCCACATTCTTCGGACTAACAGCTGATGGTCATAGGATTTGCAATATAGTTATATTTTGACAAAAAATACAAATATGTTTCTTAGGTTGCAAATAATTTAGTTTCTAGAATTTGGACTGCCCTCTGGTTTGACTGCCTCTACACAGATGTACTCATAATTAGTGTTTTTATATAAATTGGCAGCATGATTAAGATTAAAAACCAGTAGTCTGTTAGGGACTCAAAAAAAGAGGTATGTGTATTCTGAGTTATATTTCCCCAACAATTCTATTGATGGCAGTTGTCTGAGGAATAGTCTTAATGGATTATCTAAAACCTGGCAGGTCTTTTGCAAAATGTTATATAAAAAGTTACATGTGATTGTGACAAGATCCTTCATTTTGTGTGATGGTCCTAATACAACAAGCACTTTGTGTCTGAAGCCAATGGCATAGTATATTCCACACTCCAAAAGTTTTAGATGAGATGTACAATCTGATTTGCTTTTAAACCTCATACCCTTTGGAGCCATTAGAATATGGAAGGTCATAACTTATTTGATTTCACAGATTCACAGCTGGAGAGTAATTTGCCTTAGAATGAATCATGCCTTGAGTTTTACCCATATCTGATTTACTATATATTCCAATGAAGAGAGTGAAGACTTAACCTCTATATGTAGTTTATAATATTCATATTCTACAAGATTTTTCTTTGGAAATTAACAATTATTAATCTTGTAGAAATAAAACATGTCGTGCTTCCATGTTCCAATTCCATCTTCCAGATATAAACATACATAGAGTTGTGGAGTAGCAATGCCATCACATTCTTTTCCTATTCTCAGGATAGCTAATGGTGGTAGAAATCAGCCAGTAGAATTTTTGCATTGGCTCAAATATTTGGCTCAAATACTCCGCTTGGTAAAAGTGTAATCTCCAGCAAGTGATTAAAATTTCTGAATCTCATTTTCATCATCAATGTGTGACAATAGTATTTTCTACTTAGAGTTATTTTGAAGTATTGTAGGAGCCAAAGCAGCAATGTCTGCCAAAGTGCTTTACCATTATAAAATGCAAAGTGCAAGAGCTGTGATCCCTCAGGGTAACTCCAGCTGCCCATCTGTCTCTTAGGATGGCACATCTTTTGGACCTAAGGCTGTGGGAAATTTGATCTAGCCTTAGGATTACTGTGGGTGAAGCTTCTAGGGAACAGGGTGAAATGATTTCTCTTTCTTTCTCTCCAAGAAGGCTGGGAAGTATTTATTGGATTTGCTTGATGGTTTGTTCTCCTTCCACGAAAGCGGACTGCTGCATTTCAACAAGTAAAAGTTCTAAATAACTGATAATAAAATATCTCCGGATATTTTTAGAAAATATTTTAGAAAATATTTCCAAATATTTTCTCTAAGCTTGAAATCATTTGATAGAAGGGCATGTGATTATGAAGACTTGTGCTTGGGAAATTCAGAGGGAGTATAAAGACTCTGTGGTGCTTGGATCAAATCCCCTCCCCCACTTTTGTGGCATTGAAGATTACACCTAGGGGTGCTTTACCCCTGAGCTACATTCCCAGTCCTTTTTCTTTATTTATTTTGAAACAGTGTCTTGCAGAATTGCTAAGGTCTTACCAAGTTACTGAGTGTGGACTTGAGTTTGCCATCCTCTGGCCTCAGCCTCCAGAGTCCCTGGGATTATAGGTATGCACAATCAGGCCTGGCTCAAATTCCCTTATCTTGAATCAATCATTCTTGGGAACATTTTCTCTTTAAAATCTTTTTTTACATTTCTTCCTGATAGGCTAAAGTGAATAATTGTTTTCTGAATATCTGTATACGGTTTTGAAGTGTTTGTGTTTTGATCTATTATATCCCCTCCCCGCCAAAAAAAAAAAAAAACCTAAAAACTAGCTCTGCTTCATATGCTAGCTTTCTAGATCTGCTACTTGGTGTTTCTGTTTCTATTATGTAATTAAGTTCATGACAAAGGTTAAAAAGGCAAGGAATAATGAGGCAGTAGGAAAATTAAACATATTAAATATATGTTCACTGTTTGTAGGGGGAAGGTTTTGGTGTATATGGTTTTCCCAGAATAGCAATAACACCCATATTTCAAAAGAGCTTAGTAAACCAAGCATGGATCTTTTCATGATTTGGTGCATTGTTTCATCAACCACATTTTTCCCATTTTTCTTTTTTTGTTAATTATTATAAATGGACAGATCTGGGAAAGAAGGCTTAAATTGTTCATTTGGAATGAACTCCCATTTGTATATTATAGTATTCACACATTAAGGGTTCTCAGTCAAATCACATGTTTTGTTTGGAAGGAAAGATAATTTCAAAGAAATTCTATCTAAATTCCTTGAAGGAAGTCTATGCTCACTCTGACTGTTATTTTATACCCAGCCCTCTTAAGAAATTACACTTTGGCTTCTACAAGCATTTGGGGTTTCATTTGCTTAAGCTGTAAGACTGTCAGGATTTGATCATTAGTCTCTATAGCTGACTGTTGCATTTCAACAAGTAAAAGTTCTAAATAACTGATATTAAAATATCTCCAGAAAAAATATTTCTAAGCTAGATGTAATGAAATTTGTTAAACCTCTTGGGAATCAGCAACAGTGAAAAACCATGTGGAGGTGTTTGAAATTGTAGCATCAAAACTTTTCAACCAGTATTGCTTAGAAGGATGTGAATATGATACAATGAATGAAACAGAGAATGAAGGAGGGACTAGGAGAAGCATGTTTAAATTATTATTTCTTCCATTTTTTCTCTTTAACTAAGAGTTTTTAAATGAGTCAAATACATATTTAATTGATAAACTGACTTTATATTCACCTATTGGAAACAGTACAACATTTTACATCAGATTATGAAATATGGATGTTTTACTAAAAGACAGGAAGAGATTTTTTTCCAGTCTTTAAAGTAAATACATATTCAAAGAATCTTAAGGCATACCATTTATTCATATTCATATCTATTGAAATACTGTACATCCACATACTTCAATAAATAGTTAAAAACCTGACCTCTTTTTAAATCATTTCTGGATTTCAAAAAACAACTTTTATTGAAAAGATTAAATAGGTAACTTTTGGCTGTGTCACAAAGCTAAATACAATGGATAAATTAACAATTTATCAGTAATTTGATCAATATAGATGATTGGCTTTGATAATTCAGCTTTTCAGAGTTTTCTGACTTCACACATAGGGGTATTTATATATATATATATATATATATATATATTTTTGTTCTGAATTATCTGGGTAATATTCTTAGTTCTCCAGTCTACTTTCTAGATATAGCTTAAATGTTATGATGAAGCATTAATTTTCAGTGAAGTTATAAATCCCCCAAAAGTGACTTTATGTTTGAAATTCTCTCTCTCAAATCTTAGTGTCTCAAAAAAATCACACAATGCTATAACTTGGGCAGTACTTTTCATTATATAATTGCTGCATAATAGAAACTTAATGGTGTAACAGGACTTACGTGTTGAATGAGATAATTGTAAAATACATTACACCACTTGCATTTAAACCGAGAATGCAAATGAAAAAGCTAACTACCCTAACATTCTGCTTCTTGCCTCCCTCTCATTCGTCCTTTCTCCTATCTTTCATCTTTTCCTCTTTTTTCCTCTTTCTGTTCTTCCTTTCTTCTATTTCCTTTGTCTTCACCTCCTTTTCTGTCTTTATCTTTTTTTTCTCAACTGCTCTTTATTTTCTTTTCTTCTTTCTTGGACAAAAATTTTGGGGCAACAAAAGGAATCCCACAAATGAAACTTGTGGAAAACACAATGCTGAAAGGAATAGTGTAAGAAATTATTTTAGAATGAAAGATAAATCAATTTTATAAAACTGCTTTTCTGAAATTGCAACAATCTTGTACAGTCAGGACTGATAAAATGGAATAATCAAGACATTTCATATGTCCATAAATGTAAAATCATCTACTTGAACATTATATGCAATACATTCACACAAAAAAGCAAATACTGTAGCCTTATTTGAACAATATTGAACTCATAAATACTCATGATTTCACTCTGTCCAGGGGCTAAGGACTAGGAATGCTGCTGTGATACAGAAAAAACATAGTGAATACCTCCTCTATTTAAAAATGTCACTCAAGAAAGTCTCTTCTAACATAAAGGCAAATACATATAGCTACTGAGCTATGACTGTACTTCTGTCACATTCTATGGGAAAAACACCAGACTCCACAAATTCGGAATCATGACAACACTTTGAACTAATTATTTGGTTCATCCATAGTTTATACCTCAATTTACCTCACATTAACCCTACAAACCTTACAAAGAGGAGGTATTTTTAACTCTAGGAAAACGGTCACTGTATAATATGCATTCTTGATCTGTTTCTTTCTCCCAAACAATGTACAGATGGTTAACACTTTTGTGGTAGCACCACTATTTCTAGTAAGTAGATTATTATGGAGTGTGCCACTTTAAAGCTGCAATACAAAAAAAAAAGTATTTTTAGTTTACTCGCCAATTTCACAAAGAATATTTTTAAAAGCAAATATATAATATATTTAAATGCTATATTTTTAAAGCCAATTTTAATATATCAGTCAAAACATCATAGTTTTATTACAGCTAGTAAATTTAAGAGCATTATGCCATATTATTGCCATTTTGTGGGAAGACTATATTTATGCCTCCTAATTTATGAGTCATCTTTCTAATTAAAATAGATTTATGGCATACTTTGTCTTTAAATTTTATTTGGAAAAAAATCATAATTTTCAAGTCATCACTTCTAGGGCAAAATATTAGCTATCTTAAATATGTGTGACCTCTGTAAAATTTCTTATATCTAATCTTAGTAGTAGCATGTGGGTTGTTGGTATGATTGTAAAAGATGACTATCTGTAGAAATGTAGGTGTGCTGAAATTGGCAACTTCATCAGACCTGTAACATGGCTTTCAAGGCTATGGTCTTTCTTTGGTAAAGAGTAAACCATTAGCCTATTCCTGTAATATAATAGTTAGACTCACAGAATTTTCCTTCAAAAATGTAGTTTTCATTCTTTAAGTAGAAAAAAAATGAATACTCACAGTAATTGAATAATTAATACATCTTAAGATATTCTCATCACTGGTGTCTGTCTTCATTTGATCACATCTTACATATATCATGTAAGAAGAAATAAAGCATGGTAATTTTTTTTGGCTTCATTTGTTTGAACTGAAATGGTTATAAAGAAAGATTTTATTAAAGAGTTATTTACTTCAGGGATTGATCTTCTGTATACTAATATAGAATATTTGATATAAAATATTTTGGAACTTTTTCAATGTAACATGCATTCCAGATTATCAACTGAGTGATGTTTTCAGATAGAAAATATGCAAAATGCTCCTGTCTGCAGGAGCACTGTTTCTGTCATAATAACTTATCTATCACAAAACCAAATTAGTTTTGAGTGCTTACCAACTCATGTGATATTAGGTGATAGGACTTTGTGTCCTCTCTGACAAACCATCTTAAAAATTTAAGCTTGAAATAGTGAAAGAAAAAAAGATACTGTCTTGCTCAGCAATCCCTTGAGTGGACTGTGCTGTCATTTTAAAGGGAATTATTTCCCACAGTAGATCTAACATTTAACTTCAACGAAAGAAATCGTATGGTACATTTACTCTTCTATGTGATTAAATTGTTTTTCATCCCAAGAACGGAGTTATTGTGGGGCAACACTCTCAAACCCCACTGATAATGAAGAAATACAATCCAATAGCTCCTTTGTTCTTTAGAGATAGAATATAGTTTAACTTTATCATTGTGGTTTATTTTTTTCCTTACAAATTGTAGGATTTAGCAAAATGTTTTATATTAGTTGGAGACAAAGAGAAAAATATTTCATGAAGGCACACCCATGCTGAACTTACAGGAAAGAGAAGCAGAGCTGCACAGCCAGTTATATTACAAGGCTCATTCCTGAAACCTGAATATCATGCGAGCAGAAAAATCTAGATATGTGTTATATTTTGAAGAAATGATCTGAAGGCAATATTATTTGCTTTTTTATCAAAAAAGGAAAAAGAATGTGTCTTTGTAAATGTAGATTGACTCTTATTGAAACAGGGAACTGAATGCTTGTATTGCAGCCTTAAAGAATCACATGTTCACTGCAATATTCGTTTTTGTAAACTACAGCCTGCAACCTAGCAGACCATGACTGAATGCTTTTGAAAAGTTGTAGATTACAAACATGAAATCACAATTAATATCCTCTAAAAGTAATTTCAGAGCTTTCACGTCTTAAAAAAAGGACAATGTGTACTGCTTCACAAGGTAATGTAGCTAATCAAAAAAGAGTAGAATTAAAGTATTTACATAATGAGCAATTCTACAGAAGGCGATCATCCCCATGTAAGCACTGCTGATTATATCCCACGCTGCTTTTAACAAACTGTACCAGATTGGATCCAGCCATCAGCACTTTCAGAGAATCCTTAAAAGCCTTTTATGGGTCTTTAAATTTATTGTAGAATGGCATTCTTCAGGTAGAATATGCTGGTGAAAGAGGACAGTGTCAACACAAGGTACCAGCAGGAGAAAAGAACGTCAGCGCTCCCGGTAATTCCATACTGGGCTGTACTTGGAGCTGGAAAGAAATGGAAAAGATTAAATCAAAATCTAATTTGTGCCTTTCAGGATCTTGACAATAATCAAAAGACAGCTGGGTGTACTGGGGAGAGCATTGGCTTTGGGGTCAGACAGAATTAGGTTCACATCTGATTCTGCTCTATGAGAATGTGTGGCCTATTTGACTAACCTCTCTGAGCTTCAGTTTTCTCAAGGGCAAACTAGAAATAACAGAAATAATACAATCTGGCTGGCAGAGGTGTGGTGAGAATGGGAGATGAAGCACAGAAATACACTATCCGGGGCTAGACACGTGCTAAGTATTCCATAAACAACCAGGAACATCCTTATTCCTCATATGCCTTGTAAATATTTGTAGTTGTGGATAATATTCATTCATGCATCTATTTGTAAATCTTTCTGATCAGTCAAATATTCTATGAAATTCTAGAAAAACAACAACAACAAAAAAAGAAATTCTTTCTTGCAAGGACTGTTTTTATATGAGTTTGGGTAAAGGCGTGCAAACAATTATAATACAATCTTAGGAATATTAGAAATTGCATGTACAAACTGCAGTGACTTGGAAAACGGTGCATTTAAATCTACCTGTGCAAAAGGGGGATGATTTAACAGTTTTACCAAAAAGAGCTGCCATTTGAATAGAGGAAATAACACATCCCAAGGCATGAGGAAAGGAGAGATCAGACATACTTCTAGTATCTAAAAGTAGATTAGTCCTGCTGGACCGTGAAGTTTGAGCCTGAAGTGGAGGGAATTGAAACTGGAGCTCTAGGCAAGTAGAATGATCTTGATTGTAATGAAAAGAGTTTTAGTTTCTAATCTAAAGGAGAATTTGAATAATTTGGAGTGGTTGGATATATAGCCATATTCATATATTAGAAAGATCACCGGATTATACACAAAGAAGTTCATGTGGTACTTAGCTAACAGTTATGCTGAATTTTCACCCAAACCCTAAAGATTCATGATATGGTTGGCATCTACTGAGTAGATTACATTTCACTTCACAAGGGGGTGGCTACCTCCTGTATGTGGATACTGTTCTCCAGAAATTGAATGTTGTTTGCATGCTCACTATTGCTCAGGACTGAGTTTTGTTTATAATAATAATAATAATAACAATAATAGTAATAACAAAAAATCCATGCAAATTATTTTAATTACCCTTTTTAATAGGAACTTTTGTTAATTCAAGCATTATTTCCTAGTCAAAATTGAATAATGTAATAAAGAAGTATACTATTCTACCTCTTAAATCATAACTCAAATCCAGGAAGTTTTAGTTGCTCAGGATTTGAATTACTAGCAGGTAGTTTTTAATGGAACTTTCATAAATGATAGTATTAGTATGTCAGAAGAAGAACAAATTGTATTGTTTATACCATTAAGGAATTAAAGTGGAGGAAAGATGCATTGGTCCCTGCCAGTGGGAAGATTTCTTGACAATGTAATCGCTGACTCCAGATGACTAGAATCTCAGTGCTGAAGCTACTGCTTTTTAATAAACAGAGAACCGAATCAACTATTTAGTGTATCTAAATGCATTGTAAATGAGGGTTGTTTTTAAATGAAAACCTGATGAAGACAGTATATCTATGATTGAACAGATACCTTTCAAATATATGGCATAAGTCTGATTTAAAACCAGGGAACTCATTATTTTCTCTTAATTAAGACCTGGAAGAATATTTTTAAAATATAAATGAATATTTTATTTTATATGACCTTCTCAATAATAGTTGTGTCAGAATCATCTTTTAAGAATCTACATGTAACCAAACTTATAATATAAAGAAACAATAATAAACAAATAAAATAGTTTAATAAATAAGAAAAATATTTTAAAAGCTAAGCGTACAAGCCAGAGGTAAATTATTTTGTTATAATGACAAATTCAATAGTATCTAAGCATGTAGAATATCAATAACCCTAAAAATTCATCCATCTTTTGGAGTGCATGTTAGAGCAATCTTTCTTAAGTCCTGGCTCTTCCTCCTACAAGCTGAGCTGAATACCCATTTTGTATGATTAGACCATGATCTATATTCCTTTATTATATCATTATTACACTAATTGCAAATGTTTGTATATATATATATATCTATTTCTAGATCAAGGCCCCATCTTATTTATCTGTGTTTCCCTGACAGAAAGTTTGGTATATAGAGAATGGAAGATACTCAAGAAATGTCTAAGTGAATGATTCAATGACATAAAAATTAATTTGTAATTAAAATGTGTATTCCTATCACAAAAAATCAAATCTCTTCTGAAAGAAGTCACATACTTAAAACCTAATAAATAAATAAAAATACTTTCCTTGACTCATTTAGCAAGCTTGCATTGAACTCAATACCAAGCACCATATTGAGTGCTGGGAATTCAATGGTTTATAAGACATAGGGACTTTTTGTCATGTACCTTCATGGACATCTTTTTTTCGAAATGTGTCTACCTCTTCTTATACTTAGTTTACTATCATTTTAAACAGGGCAAAGATATTATCCATAGTATTTTTAAAAATTAATGATGACCCTACAATTAAGATAGCAAGTTTTAATCATTGATTCACTTTTTAGTTGTTTACAAATGTAATATTATTCTCATCCTAAAGTAAACTAGAAGCTGGCTGCTGCATTGGTAGCCAGCAATTATTATAGTTAATAGGCTGCAGGAAAATTATGAACAATCACTAGGCCACAAAAAATTAGTCAAGGAAATGTGGCATCAGATGCCCAGAATAAGTCATATATCATCATTCACATTCTTGTACTGCATACTGAATGTCTTTTATGTTTTGAGAGCTGGATTAAATAACATATGAGCAAAAATGAATAAAACCCAATCCTCTCCTTCAAAAAGAGTTCACTCTAGTAGGGATACAAATAAATAGGCAAATAGAGGACATAGGACATATGCACCTATAAGGACAATGCAGAATCGTGAGAAGGATTAGAGACTATGGCAACAAGTATTAAAAAAAAAAACCTGACTTTTTAAAAAATAGAATTTGCATTTCAGTACATACAAATTTCATTTTTTAAAATGGTGTGCAGCAGTCTTTGTTGGGGTATCCCATTGGTGTCTAATTTCATTCTCCTGGATGAACATTTATTATATTCAGTTTCTATGTGTCTGTGACTACTGGACTGAACTATTTAGAGATAAGAATCTGACGGTATTAACATTAAGGGTCTCAGGGATATTTTGATTTGTTTCACATGTTAAATTCCAATTGAATTTTTTGTAGATGGACACAATACTTGTATTTATTTGTTTTTATTTTCTATAGTGCTAGGGATTGAACCAAGTGTCTCATGCATGTAGTGCTGGGGATCGAACTGAGTACTCTGCCACTGAACCACAACCCCAGTTGAATTTTGATGTTACGAAATTAAAGAAAATAAAATTAAAGAAATAACTATTAGCTATAATTAGAAATTAGCTTCAAGACTCTGGTGAAGTATCACCTACATCAAAAAGAAAAAAAAATCATTTATAAAAATCCCATGCTACATTAAGCATTCTTCTCTGTTCTCCATATTATTTAGTAACTCAGAAGATAATGTTTATTACATTTTACTCCAACTAGACCAAAAACATTCCAAAGCTAAGATCTATACTTTTTTTTTTAATTTAGTGCTGATCGCAAAGTCCATAATTTAGAAGGTACTCGGTATTTTTTTTCAAATGATTATATGATTTACATCCTTTTACCCTATTATCACCACAAACATAAGGAGACATAATACCATGACTTATTTTTTCAGATGAGTATTGTCTTTCCTCTCTCATATTTTACTGAATCTTTTCTTTCTACTTTCTGGCCTATCCCTTTTACTCATTGACTCAGGCGCCTACACAGAGCACACACTAGATGTGTGAAATAAGTGAGTGAATGAAGAGTGTGATAATACTCAAGGGAATGCCTATGGTTTACTAGATGCCACGCAGGGTAGTTTAACTTATTCTGATATGTACAGATCAGACTATCTGCCTGAAGCATTGTGCAAAAGAGGACAAATTATAGGCAGATTATAGGGGGATAGAACATGTACTGAATTTTATAACACCATCCTCTCACTGCAGAAGGCAGTGAGTGCAAATAAACCAGAGGGCCCCAGCTATCCACATGAACTTTCAGGAGGCCTCTGGTATGTGCCTCTCTGTAATCCTGAGAGCTTTCATAGGTTCTATTTTTGACTATGTGTGAATATTGTACTACTATTATCCCAAGTAAAATTAGGAGGCATAGGTCACATGCTCAGAGAGTAGGGGCCTACGGTGAGGGCTTAGAGTGCACTCTGAGTGACATGAGAGACCAGAGGACAGTCTGACCATTCTAAAATGATCACTTGGCTACTTTGAGGACAATATGTTAAACCAGAGGAAGAAAGAGTAGAATGTTAGCTTGAAAGCTTCAGAAATCCCATTGCCTCCAGAGAAAAGCCAGAGATACATAATCCAGAATTCAAGAGTTCTCTATTTGTCTGGTTATAACCCACTCATCCAAACTCATGCCTAGGCTCAACTCTAGACTGACAAGCCATTTTTGAACACACAGTGTTTTACTACCCCATGTCGTGTGCACATGCTACATCCTTAAGCCTATGTGGCCTTCTTCTTCTTCTTTCTCTACTTATTAAATGCCTAACAACCTTAAACATCTAAAATAACCTCTTTTGAGTTGGACATTGTGTCTCATATCTGTAATCCCAGTTACTCAGGAGGCTGAGATAAAAGGGCATAAGTTCCAAGCCAGCCTGGACAATTTATCTGATTTTGTCTCAAGATCTAAAATTCAGAGGGCTGGCAATGTAGCTCAGTGTTTGGGTATCCCTGGGTTCAATCCTCAGTATTATAAAATAAACAAATAAAATACCCCTTCCTCCATGAGGCTCTCTCCAGTCTTTCAGGTAAGAATTATTAATATCCTTATACTGATTTCAGAACTGGTTCCTTGTTAACATATAGTTATAAAATCTTCCACTGACT